CCGGCGCCGCCGCCACCGAGCGGCCGAGGCCGCGGAACGCGCAGGACCGGAAGTGCCGCCCCGCGCCGGCCCGGCCGAGCGGGCGCCGCCATGACACCGTACAAAGAAAGGGGCGGGGTCACCCCCGCCGACCAATCGCAGCCCGCCGGCTCATCCGGGGATTGGCTCCGCCGAGCAGGGCGCCGCCATCTTAACGTGCGGCACGCCCTGAAACCCCGCCCCTTTAACCCTCCCGGCCCCGCGCTCGCTCTTGGGCGGTTTTCGCCCTTCTCGGTTCCGCCCGAGGCGGGGAAGCGGCCGCGGGTCCCGCGCCATCGCCGAGTGAGCCGGGGAGGCGGCGCCGCGCAGGCGCGGAGGAGGAGCACAAGATGGCGGCGGTACGGCGGCCGCGAGGCGCCCCGCCCCGTACGGCAAAAGCGCGGCAACATGGCGGGCGCCACGCCGCCGTACGGACAGAGCCAATCAGCGCGCGGCATTCCGCAGCGCGCGACAGCACGGCGCCGCCATTTCGGTTAAGGACACGTGACAGCAGCAGCCAATCAGATCTGAGTAAAGGCGAATCTTTATTGGTTGTTGCGTTAAAAAGGCGGGAATGAGCCGCGCCGAGGAGTGCGTCACTTCCGGTTGGCCTGGGCGGTGCCGATCATGCATTCGTTCACCTGCGGGGGGAGGGGCGAGCTCAGAACCCCCCGGGACCCCCAAAATCCATTTTGGGAGCCCCAAAAATCCCCTGGGATCCCAAAATCACTTCAGGATCCCATAAAATTTCCCCCAGGAACCCCCAAAATCCTCTCCAGGAGTCCCAGTTCCACCCTGGGACCCCCCAAAATCCCCACAGGACCCCAAAAATCTCTTTGGGAACCCCCCAAAATCTTCCCCGAGCCCCTAAACCCTCCCAGGACCCCCCAAATCCCCCCAGGACCCCCCAAACTCCCCCCAGACCCCCCCCAGGCTCACCCAGGGCCCCGTTGAGGTTCTGGAAGATTCGGGAGTGATGATCCAGGGCCAGCCCCAGCTCCTCCTGGGGGGGAAAAATTGGGGGGGGGGACCCCAAAATTTGGGGAGGGGTCAGAAAAAAATTTTTGGGGGGGTCCCAGAGGGGGAAAAAATGAATTTTTTTTGGGGGGGGAGGGATGATTTTGGGGTAATTTTGGGATGATTTTGGGATATTTTGGGATGATTTTGGGATAATTTTGGGGATAATTTTGGGATAATTTGGGGATAATTTTGGGATATTTTTTGGGGTGATTTTGGGTTTTTTTGGCTCACTCTGAGCTCAGGGTCCAGGTACAGTTGGG